AACATATATCTAAATAAAATATCTAAATATCCAAACATATAAATATACCTAAAAATACAAGTTCAATTACACCTTCTTCACCACCTCAATTCTCCATCCTCAAATACAGTAGCATTTACCACCACATAGCCTTCCTTTGAAGTACGTCGACTGAAAAGGACTAAAGCAGAAACACTCCACATCCCAGTAGCACTCAATGTCTCCTGTTTTGGAGTCAAGGGTTTGTTCCAGAGAGCCTCGTACACTTGCACAAAGACAAGAGGCATCAGTCATATGGTGTATGATCTAGGTCACACACTTCAGTTTTGAATTGCCAACAAGAAGGAATGGACACATATTAGTATTAATTTGTTGCACAGAAGGAACTGTCTGGTCATAAAACAAAACTTCCAAAAAGCAGAAACCAGGTCTCGAATTTCCATTCCATCTTGGATTTTCCATTTCGTTTAGGATTGTACTGATTTTTTTTTTTGTTTAAGTTTAACTTGGCAAAATCTTGTCCAAGTTCTAAGCTTTGTTGCTAGTAAACAGACCACTGCAAAAAAAGTGTTATAAATTAGCTTTAGCACAATTTTCTTACAGAACTAGATAAATAATTGATGCAGTAGTCATTAAAAATGTTGTTTTTCTTGATCACTTCAAAGCAAAACTCTACCTTTTCTTAAAAGCAAAAATACAAAAGAAAATGAAATTCTATTACCTCTTTTCCAGTACATTGAATCCTTGGGTTTTTGTTTTCTTTAAAAGTCAACTTTATTTACAAAAAAAACACAGAGGTGAACTCAATTTTCTTCATTTACCATACACCTTCATTACCTTTTTAATATAAAAGACGATAAAGTATTTCATGGTTGCTATTGCTGGAAGAAGTGGTGAATAGAAGGTTCCAATCCAGCAGATGGTCTGCCCATAAACGATTTCCAGGACGTTGTCAGAAATTCCAAATTCCTGCAAACCCCACCACTGAACCAGCTTACAAGAGCAGCAAGTAACTAACAACCTAAGACAAAGAATATCATTAGTTCTAGAGGGAAGTTATGGAGTTTAGCTGAATCCTAACATTTTAAATACATATTCGGAACACCAGAAATTTAACATTAAAGCCATTAGGTGATGTAACAGAAAAATGCCCGAAGAAGCAAAGATTCAAATATCAGAAACTACACAGCTATTTAACTAGCAAACACAAGTAATGAAATCACCAGAAGTATGTTTCTATTTTAAAACTGGAAATCTGGTTAGAAATATAGGGAATAAATAATGGAAAAAGAAACTTATGTTTCATGAGTCATTTTGTAAAAACATGCTCAAAAGACAGTGATACTCACTTTCTAGGAAAATGCACAAATAGAGTCATAGCAAAAATTATAATAAAATCAAATATCAACAATTTATACATTTCTTGACCAACTTGAGATTCCCAGCACTATAAAAAGAAGTCAGAAAAAAAGAGAATTAGAAGTCTAAATAAAAAAATAAATAAAAGTCAGTCACTAAAACAAGAAACTTCTAAATCAACTAACACCATGAAGTTCAAATCCTATTAACTCCCATTTCTAAAATGCTTTTAACTGTTCTAAAAGCTTCCAAGATTTTTTTTTTAATAACAAGAGGAGAGACCTTTGTCTCATTGGTGCAAAACGCAGTAACTAACACGAGTGGTGTCAAAATGCAGCTAACTTAGACCTTCTGACTACCATGAGGATTATTTATGTTAGCTGATAATCTGTCACTGGACCAATACTCAGAGTTTTTAGCTAAAGGAAAGGTATATGATATGTATACAAGAACTTTACTGGTTTATATCAAGTAGTAAAAATCAGCACAAGGCATAACATGAACAGCAACCCCATATCTGATTCTGAATACCTGTAGACAAGCAAGTCGCATGGAAAAAAAGAATCACAAGTTCAGATGATTAAAGACCAAGATAAATCTGCTTACAGGATAGAGTTCGTAATTGTATCCACAAGCATTACACTTGTCAGTGGCACAGTAGGAGATCTGACTCCATAGCGAGACTAAGAGAACACCGATATTGGCCAACCGCATAAAGACACACCTGGAAGAAAGGCAAAACCAGATTCCAAACCTGTCAAAAAAGAGCCATTCTAGCACCTGACTCAACTTGCATAGGAGTCCAAGGAAGCTGCAAGGGGCTCTAAATGTGAAAGCGTTGCACAGAGCTTTAACAGAATGGTCAGCCAGAAAACAAATATTTCTTCCTTCAGTAACAGGTTCAACTGCTTTTCACCTTCCCTGCTTTATGCTACAGTCCATTGCTTCTGCTCTCGCTATCATTCCTAGATCGTTTCAGTTGCTCACCTTGAACTAGCAATGGGCTGCTATTCTCTCAAGTGCCATTTCAGACACCAGGTAACAACGCTTTTTGTGTGGCGTTTCCTCTTGGGTGGCTTCAGACATCTCCAGAGGCACTTAGCCAAAAAGTAAATACTAAGCACAGGGACCTGGCAGAGCTCCAGTGCTTCAGCCTGCCACCTTTTTCTGCCAAATTCCAGTTCTTTACGCCTTAGAGTACCTTAAAGTATCTTTTATCCCACAGTTTTTAACTTCTGCTTTGAGCAAAGTCACGCTTTGGTCTCTGCTATGCTGCACTATAATACGAGCAAAGTTCACTGCTGCACACTCATGCTTGTTCATCCAAGGAAACGCTGCACACAGAGCAGTGTGAACCTATAGTGCTGCAGCCAGGACTTCCCTACTAATTACTCAGGTTGTTGAAGATCTCTAGCTCACATGGATAGATGACATTGAGAGAAAAACCTGGAATCTGAAAGGACTGCGCTGTACTGCCATCAAAAGAGGAGATTGCTTCCAGATTTAAAATGAAAATTTCCAACTAAACATAAACCAATGCCTTCTTGGCTTCCAGTGCCCAGGCCATCCGTTGCAGGGAGTCAAGCCTATCTGCTTCTTGACATCTGAATGTTTACAGTACTTCTAACTTACCAGGAAAAAGCTGTTGAAATGTCCAAGGCAATTGTAAGAATATGCTCACCTCAGCAGCGTCAGCCTGATTTCAAAGGCTGGTGAATAATCTTCAAGTCTGATTAGAACTGAAAAGATCTGAGGAGCAATGCAGTTGGCCAACGTGATCACTATGGAAGGCAAATACTGTACCAAGAGATTAGCCTCAAATTTCATATTGCTGCCATTCTGTACAGGAAGAGATGAGAGGAAGGTAACACCACACATAAGCACACATTTCTGACATTATGCTCTCTCCAGCTACCCACAAGCCTTGTCCAGGACTCAGGTAACATCTTTGACTTCAGCCTCCACCCTTATTTGGAACTACAAGCCCGCCCACTGCTGTCTCTGAAGTCTGCTGATATAAACCCTTACTTTCTCCTTGTCCCTTCACCAATAACTACATCCCTTCTCTCACTATTAACATTTTAGTGCTTCCCCAAACCTTCTGTTTGACAAAGTTCATTCATTTCCCCAAGACTCGCGTCTGAGACCTATGTCAAAGTTCAGACATGTCTCCAGTTACTCTCTCTGGCCCCAAGCAGCTCCTCCAACTTTCCTATCACCTTAAGAACCTCCTCTATGTGCTCACTGCAGCAAGGTCAAGATACTAACTCTTGAAGCTCTCCTCCAAGCTGTTCAGTGCTGCCCTATCCTCTTCTCTGCCCTCAAACAATACTTTTGACACAAACACCTCTTTAGTCCCCGTTCCCTGCTTCTCCCTCTGCAATCCTGGCACTTCACAGAAGTTAAAAGTTAGGTCCTCAGAGAGCACACTTTCCCCTAGACACAGCCAGTGCCCATCATATCACCAATACAGAGGGGACAAAAAAAAAATGCAAGCCCTATTCATAATAAGGCCAGTTCAATCACAGGGGTCCTCCAGGGAATGCAATTACTGTTATTTTGTACTGTTGGCCGCTTCTTTTCTGCTTCTGAACTGCTCTTCCCAACAGTTTGTCCTGCAAAGGGTGAACAACGCACCCTAACCAGATTCTCTTCACTAATGATGCAAGAACCTTTTCTTCTGCAAAGTGCTCCCTGCTTAAACTCTTCCTGTTTCCTCACACCACTGTAAGCCACAGTACAGCTCATAATCTTTACTAGCCCCTTTCCTTGCTATTCTTTTTTGCAGCTGAGCAGCAAAACAGATCAAAGAACTGACCGTAAGGAAGTTTATTTTAATTCAGATCAGTTCCCTGAGCCAGTTTACTGTCCAGATACACAGGCATTTGTGCCAGCACAGCACAGAGGTGAGAACAGTTACACAGCAAGGAGAATGAGGGCTGCTTTTGTTGGCAGCTGCACTAGCTCCAAGACATGACACTGTAATCTCTGTATCAAAGGGAGACATCACTGCTCTTTCTGGTATACGCTTCTTGATCCTTCTCACTCCCTCCTGCTAAACAAACTCTGCCTCTACAGAAAGCAAGTGTTTTCAGATTCCTTGCAAGGAAGGTGCTATATTAAGATACTTGACTCTTTTGCAATAGTTCCTCTTGCTCTGATCACCAGTCCTCTACTGTAGTTTGTCCTAATGTCATGTCTGATACTTACATTAGAGATATTTTCCTGAGAGAAGACAGTTGCTCTATAAATAGAGTAAAAACATCCTGATAAAACTGCGAGGACAACTATATTTATAAATATTCTCAGAGAGTAGATGCGTAGCTTGTCTTTCACTGTCCTGTCAGCTACTTTTTGCTTCAGTCTTTCTTCTTCCAAATCTGTCTACAAACAAAAGAAAAAGAATATGCAGTTTTCTGGTGCAGTATAAAATACTGCCACTGTGTCTCCTACCTCCAGGAGATAGGATCTACATCCTGTTCCAGGAGAATCACTCCACAGCCTGCCCAAACCTTCTGAAGTGAGGGGGCCCTTCCATTAACTTACATCCGTCCATGCAGGAATGGAAGCCCCAGGCAATGTGCTCAGTCTCATCAGGCTGGAGGCCCTCTAGCTGAAAACAACTGTCTGGTAGTCCTCTTATTATACCAGTAACATATCCCCTTGAGGACAAAAAGACAACTTGTCTGTCTACTATGAGAGACCGATCTAGACAGCTTGGTACTAAACCGCAAAACTGGTATTTCAGCCCACTCATCTCTACACTTCTACAGGTAGGTAAACAGTCCTCAGCCCTATGACTTAAGCTTGTTCTCTTTGTGAAGGGAAAAAAAAACTGAGGGTGGCACAGAAAGAAGCACACCCTCCAGTAGCTGGTCAGGCAAACTTGTTATGTTTCACCTTAGCTAATGCAAAAATGTAATACTGCCCGTGAAGGCAACAACCCAGTAACTTGGGCACACCCTCAGTAAGCTGGGTATTTTCTGCAGACATCTTTCCATCAAACAGTACTATTAAGGGGTGTGTTTTTCTAAGGTTTGGGTTACACCCCAGCAAAACAGCATGGTAAGTGAAGGAGGCTCTCTGGTTATACGGTAAAAGATGACTATGAACTTTAGTGGAATGGAAAACAACTCACCGTAATTTGTGAAATCAATTATTATTGCTTTATGGTTTGAAGAAGAAACATGGTGACTGGCAAATACCTTTTCAAAAGTCCTTATTTCACCACACAAATCTCTGTTTTCAGTGTACAGACAGAGGACAAACAAAGTACTGGTTCCACCAGAAAGGTCTTTCAGACTCTCTCTTCAGAGAGCTTTATGATTTCAAATATGTATTAGCTGCATCTATGTTTTTGCATGTATATATATGTCATAAAGACACCTCATAAAAAATTACAGTATCTTTTTTTACCAGCAACAACGTTCATTCAATTTGTATGAAAAATATTATCTGCATTTTATTTCTCCCCAAACAACCGCTTACCATATTGCAGTCTTATAACCCAGCACACCCAAAATGATTTCCAATAGTACAAGGGTTTTGCCCATGGCTGGAATAGTTTTTCCTGTTGGATTATGTAGAAACTAACACAGGAAACAACTGGAATGCGAGGAAGAGGCAGATAAGACAAGCAGTTAACTGGCTGGCTTCAGTCCCCGGTGGATGAGGGGGCGGGGGGAAGGGCTTTCAACCTCAGCACCAATCCTTCCCATGTTGCACCACAATTCTTGCTATTCAGAAAGCGTGCAAGAGGATGTGGGTTCCCCAACCGCCCTAAATATACACTACTCAAATCTTTCTTACCCTCAGTCTCTTTATCTGCAAAGTCCTATATCCCTCTTTGTAGCCATCTAAGCTGTATCAAACCATAATGAAAGAAAAACATGAGTTACTCACTTTGAGCTCATATTGCAAGCTGCGATGTTTTAGCCGTGCTGCATTTAGATCTGTAATGCAGAAGTCCCAGCCTGCAAAGACTTTGTTACAGTAACTCTGAAATTGATCTTCATCATGCACCAAGTTCTGCTTAAATCCTTCCACACACCTAGAGAAAATTGCAACTTTACTTAAAGAAGTACTTTATCCACAGAAAAACAAAAAGCCCCACACCTCAAGCCACCAGGCTCAAAGGCTAAGTGATCTCTCTAAGGCCAACCAACCATGCTTGCTTTATATCAGCAAGTCTCTAGGAACCTTCGGTGTGAGGCTCTGCAGCAACCAAAGTTATTTGAATCCAGGATTGATACGAATTACTTCCCTCTGCACTTGGCCACACTTACACGTTCTGGCCTCATCCGACACTTTTCTGACGCTGCAAAGAACTGGCTCAGGAAACCGAGCTGGAAAATGACTGTATCTTTTTGGTTCATTTGTTTTAAACAACTTACATTTTTGAATTATTAGTTTTTTGCTGGCTTAGCTCCCCAAGAGCCAGACAAAGGCTACTGTGGTGCTGAATCCTCAAAGACGTAACAGAATTGGCAGAGGATTCTCCTTCTCCATATAAAATAGTTCTATAATTCAGTATACTCCCTACAGGTGAGAATGCAATGTAAGCTCTGCAACAGGTAGCAGTGAATAAAATACACCAACATCTTTACCTTTTTATTATCCAGAGGAAACTTAATGCAAGGTAAGCAAACGTAGTCAGCAGGTATGCTAGTGGTAAGTTGTACCTAAAGGTACCGATCCATGCAGAATCTATTGCGTAATAGCCATAAAACAAACTTGTCATTTCCAGGAATCCCTGTGAAAAAAAATGAAGTTTAAATAGCATTTTTAACAGCAGCAACAACTACTCAGTTAAATCCAACCTGGTTTTAACAAGCATTTTGTACACTTGTAAACAAAATATTACTACTGGGCACCAAGCAACCTGTGGCAGTCTGTAGCTTCTAAATACTGACATTGTCTTTAACAAACTAACACAGGCATTGCATGCTTAAATCCCTCCCCTCTCCAGTCAAAGAGCCCTGTGACAAGCACACCAGGACCCTACACAGAGAGCACAATAGGATGTGTGCTCCAGAAGATGAAACATTTGGCAGCTGGGGAAGAGTGGCACAGGCTGCAGCGTGCGACCAACCAGGCCTCATGCACTCTCAGTAACAGCCAGTATGGAAACTCACCCTCCCAATGATACTTTACCATTTTACCCCAATGATGCCTTACCATTTTTCAAAATTATCAAAACAACATTCCCCGAGTAAAAGTCTTTTTCACGTTTTACACGTTACACGAGACTTAAAAACTTAAAAAGAATATCTGATGACTTACAGCGCCAGTGAGCAAATCGTTGAAGTAAGCATAGAAGTAAACAAGACCCTTATTACCACTAGGTGCATAAACCGTGCAGTGAGGCTCTGTCAAAGAAAGCCAGGAGAAGTCAGCAGAATAGCAATGCCCATTACACCGTGAGATGAAATCAGCTCAAACGTGGCAAGCTCTTACAAAGCAAACGCTGGTCTTTCAGGGGCCAGGGAGGAGGAGCAGAATCTTATAAATGATAACAGAACATGAAGAAGATGGTTACCTATGCTTCTTGTGGGGATTCTATCAAAGCTACTGTTGAAAATTTCATATTTAGAAATGATGCTGGGAAGGGTAACAAAACTGAACATCAGGATAAATACTATAAAATTCAGCATACATATATATATATATATATACACACATATACACACATATAAAAGGAACAGATTATAATTTCAGTTACACCGAACTAGGAAGAAATATTGACACTAGTCAAAACAAATTCAAAAAAACCTGACACTAGTTTTAATTATTCTGGGTTCACAGCAATATACCTGAAGTGGAAACATAACCATCTTTTCATCCAATATATTTCCATCTACTCCTTTATGGATTTCTCATCAGCAAAAATAAAGGAAGCAGGTAACTTCTCAGACACATACAGTTATATCTGAAACTACGTACACACATGTAAAACTACACACTATCCGTAACAGAAGCAGCTTGAAACAGCAGAAACCAACATAACGAGACAAATACCTTCTATGCTGTGAATATCATGCCGCCAAAGCTCCAGGTAAGGTAATAACTCCTTGCCTCCATCAAGAACTTTTTTCCATGATTTCCGACTAGTTCTTCTCCATTGATTCCATTCAGATAAATATCTTATATTAGCCTGCTGAGAGTCCCTAAGAAACGGGAAATAAAATTACTAAGCACAAGAACTACTTTTTCACTCTGTGTAACAAGACCTAGCACAATGGAGCCTGCTTGGAGCCTTCAGAAGGGTATCACTGTGCAAAAAGGTGGTGTAACATATGCTATGTAACATATGTAACAGTTGTCCCCAACTGGTCATTTTGTTAACTGTGACATCATGTTAACTCAAATACGACAAGCGCTCTCACAGGAAAAAAAATTCAACTGACAATAGCACAACATAGAGATGTGCAGCTGTACTCCCTGCAGGGACGTTTAGTAACGTTTCTGTTGAGAATTTCATATTTACAATGGCTGGAAAAGTCAGAAAAAATACTTTCTTCAAAAATTCTGATCAAAGTTATTGTCACCAAGATGCTCTTACAATTTTTAAATTACATAATATTAAAATTGCATCTGTTCAAAATACAAATTTTTCTTTTTACAGAAAAATAAAAGATGTCGAAGTCAGAATGAAAAGTCAAAATATGTTGTGAAGAAAAAGTTCAAAAGATATACATATGCATACATATATTTATTTCTATATATAGAGAGAGCGCACTATAAAGACGTTTAAACACCCAATTTGGATTTTATCATTTTACCTTTATATTGCATTCTAGTGCATAATACAAGACATGTTATCAAAATTAATTTTTTTAATTATTCATTTTTTATATTGCTTTGAAACTTTCACAAAAAAATGCTGCCTCAATGAATTTGAAAAAGTTATTTCTTTGCAGGTGGGGGGATGAACTATTCTAATAATAAGCTGCAAACTAGCACCAAAGATGTAACGCAAACTATCTGTATAGAATTTTTGTCATTTTTCAAGAACTCCTTATAGATCTTCACACCACATGCGGAAATTTTCACCATAAAAAACTGTTGCATGGTCAGCAACAGGAGCAAGGAGAATTCTAAGTGGCTCAGAGTTTTCATTTTATTCTTTCTTTTGGAAAGCTGTAAGAGACAACAAACAAAAAAACCCCAGACACATAGCATGAAAACTGACTTGTATGCTGAGAACGTTGTTTCAGCCTCTGGTGCCGCTAAAGGGCAGCAGTGAAGTACCCACAAGGAGGCTGCGCAAGACTACAAGATAAAGGCTCCAGTTCTGTAAATTGCACCCAAAGCTATGTATGTGCATAAGCGACTGGCTGAATCACTTGTGCACAGCAACAGAAGCACAGCTAGCGCCAAGCGTGCTCTGTGTTAACAGAGTGTCCCTACTCTATTCAGCTGAAGGTAAAACTAGTATTCTGGCAGGAATCTGAATTAAACCTAACTTGCCACAAATAAAGAGGCACACAGCTATTCTCAAAAGATTTCAGGCTACAGCATGTGGTGTTTTAAACAGGCACTTTGGAAAACTATATGGCCTGTGTTTGGTCTGCATTTTAAACAGAGGCGTGGGCTGCACGTTTATCTGCGTTACAGAAGACCAGTGTTCAGTTCTCGGGGCACTTATCAAGCATTGTGCGTTGGCAGCGGCTGCACAACCCCGACAAGAAGTCCTGATCTGCAGAAGTGCTAAGAGGCCCCACCAGCACCTCGGGGTGATGAAAGGCCCAACTCCCTTTCTCTTGAGGAACTCAGCTGTATAGACCCACCTTCAAATACAACTCTGTTTTAAGCACTTTCCTTTACCACGACCCAGATCTACAGTTCCTCTCTAGAGCCTGTAGGATTAAACTGCTCACAGTCAGGCTGCTCCTGCTGCTCTTGCAAACAAATGAACTCTTGCTCTGCCCAAAGGACCAGGTATTATTTGTACTTTCACCTCTCCCCTGCTCCACAACCAGGAAGCACCTAACTTAAAGATCCTGTTATTCTCTGACAGTGTAGTACAAACACATTCATATCCTCTCTCCTCCAGAGCCCCCCCCCTGCCAGTAAGACCAGTGACAGCAGGCCCTCCCAGGCTGGGAAACGCAGGTGGGGCAAGGCACGTAGCCACCTCCGGCTCAGGGCCGCTGACGCTCTCAGCTCGTGGCGGAGGACGGCGTTGAAAAGAATCAGAAAAGAAATTAAAAAAACAAAGTGAAGTGATCTCCAAAGAGGATCCCCCCCCCTGCCAGTAAGACCAGTGACAGCAGGCCCTCCCAGGCTGGGAAACGCAGGTGGGGCAAGGCACGTAGCCACCTCCGGCTCAGGGCCGCTGACGCTCTCAGCTCGTGGCGGAGGACGGCGTTGAAAAGAATCAGAAAAGAAATTAAAAAAACAAAGTGAAGTGATCTCCAAAGAGGATCAAAAACGCTCTCTTTCCACGCGTAGGGAGAGCCACATCAGAGAAAGCGCAAAAGCTTTGTG